GAGCTAAAGAGGATCTGTTTGGTGGGCTAAGGGCTGAGGGGAGGGTTTTAGGTGCCATAGCAGCAGGTGCAACAGTCTAGGGGTGGGACAGAGGATGAGTATTCATGGAATGTTTTCCTTGCTATACACGTTATCCCAGAAATTAGTGGCTTTAAGACACAGAAAGTTATCTCACTGTGAACATTGTGGGCTTCAGATCAAGGTCAGTTGGGAAGCCTTTCCTTCAAGACTTCAGGGATCAAATTCTTGCTTGCTTCTCTCAGCTAGTACTCACTGCACATGTTCCCTCCCTGAGTCACCGGGCCTTTTCTGTCATCTCCTAAGAGCTTCAGGGGATTTAGCACCTATGGAGTTCATCCAAATGATTTTATTTTGAGGTCTTCAACTTGATGACATCTTCAGATACATTTTCTTTCAAATAAGATCATATTTACAGGTACCAGGGTTTAAGACTAGAGTCTTGAGCTATATATTCAGACAGTTGTAGGAGTCTGGAGATGATGTGATACTACAGAGTAGGAGGAGATGACCCTGTATAGTGGAGGCAGAGGTGCTTTACACGGAGTCTTCAGATGGTAAGTTTAGGCTGTTTGTACCATTGGCATTAGCAGCAGAGAACTGTGGCATGAGGTGTGCTTGGATTGCAGCTTGGCTGCTGGGGGTGAGGGGGGGATTGGCAAGAGTGGGGATTTGAGAAGATCCATGCAGAGAGGGAAGGAGGGGTCTGGAGAGACTCGGAGGTGTCCATCCTCCACTGAACTAACCTCAGGTAAAAGTTGGGGACTGAAAGATTCGTGTCCAGGAAATAATAGATCTCTCCATGGAGTGTTAAAAAAAATGGGAAAGGACACAAAGGAAAGGATGACAGCAGTCTAGAGAGCACTGTCTCCTGTCCTGTCACTTTATTATGAGAACTATCAGACGTGGAGAAAAGTTGAGAGGGAGCATCACACACTGAACAACCCATTCACTGCTAGCTAGAGTCTGTAATTACCACTTCCCATGACTGCTCCCTTTCACATCTGTCCATCTCCCCACCCCTTGTAGATTTTATGTATTTCAGAATTGCAGATGACTCCTTCAGGCTGGCACGTCATTAACAAGTGTTCAGTATTTAATGAACTGCATAAATACTAACTGTACCAAGATTTGGTAAATTCTGGTGATTGCATCTGTCTGTGTCGCTCAGATCCCTGTCAAGACAGGGGATGGTTCCATTGGTCCAGAAGTTCCCTTGTGCCCATTGTCATCAGCTCCTGTCCACACCCCATTCCCAGAGGCCACCAGTGTTTTTATGGTTAGCATTTCCAAACATTGGCCAGCTTTGTCTGTTCTAGAACATTATACGAGCAGAAGCATTCAAGCTGTGCACTTGTGTTTAGCTTCTTTCACTTAGCATAGTATGTTCAAGAACCATTAATATAGTTCCCTTTTGTTGCCTGATGGTATTTTGAGAATCTATACAGAACAGCAGTTTTCTTAGAGAGGGGTGGTGAAAGATTTCACCAAGGAGGCCAAGGGCAGTGAAGGTAGTAGGAGAAAACTAAATATAGTTGTGGTTCACATAACATGAACTTTTCTCTCTCTCCCCACTCCTAACCCCCTTGATTCTTGATTCTCTTTTATAAAAGAAGTCTAGGGGTAGATCATTCTAGAGTCAAGATGAGGCTCCATTATCCCATCAGTGACTTCAGACTCCTAGACTTCTGTTCAGCCATCTTCAATTCTGCTTTCAATCTTCAAAGTCATCTCATGGTTAAGCATGACTGCTGCAGTTCCAGCCATACAACAAAAGGAGAACATTGAGGGCAGGGGGCAATGTACTACTTCTTATCATCGTTATTATTATTAAATTATATGTATGCACGCGCATGCGTGTGCACACACATGAGTGCGTGTATATGCCAAAAAAATGGCATCAGACCCCCTGGAGTTGGTTGTGAGCTGCCTGACATGGGTGCTAGAAGCCGAACTCGTGTCCTCTAGAAAAGCCGTTGTCACTTTTAACCACTGACACGTCTCCAGCTTCACTTTTAATTTTCTGAGACATGGTCTTTCACTGAACCTGAAACTTACCAATTTGGTTAGACTTACTGGTCAGTAAGTTTCAGGGATCCTCCTGTCTCCATACACTCCCAACCTACCAGCGCCGGGGTCACAGTCATGTGCCACTATCCCTGGAAATTGTCTTCATCCATGACCAGAAGCAGCCTGGGGAAGAAAGGGCGTGCTTTTAGCAACCATCTTCAAAGTCTCTACACATATCCACCTAACACCCCTGCCTTGAGACAGGGTCTTGCTGTGTATTCCAGGCTGGCCTTGAGCTTGTAATGGCCCTCCTGCCCTAGCCTCCCAAGTGCTGGGGTTACAGGTCCAGGCTACTATGCCCAGCTGTTCCACTTGTTCTTTAGTGAGAACTTAATCACGGACTCAGAAACGTGGTCCCTTTACTAGCCACTGAGCATAGTGCCACTCCAAATACCGTGGGGTTTGTGCTACCCAGAGGGAAAAGAAGCAACTTCATTGCCTTGCTTTCTTTGAGACCAGTGGCCAGGTCACACCCACTTAGTGTCCTCACCTGTGGCCTTCGTAGACTGAAGCCTGGATGTGCCCGGTGGGTTTCTTTTTCAGCCCTCTTCTTTCCTAGAGAGTTGGTTTCTTCATCCTTTCATGTATCTCTTTTCCTAATAGAAGTGTTCCATACGCCCAGCATTCTATGAAAGGCACGAACAAGAAAGGAATGATTGTCACTGTGCCGGTCCTCACATCTGTACCTGGTGCTCCCATTATTGGTCAGCCTGTCCCATGAGGAGGGCCAAAGACAGGGTGCTGGGGTTTCTTTGGGGTGAAATGGGACAGGATAGCCCTTGAAGACTCAGACAGACCCAGGTCCAGATCCTCAGGCAGATGTCTGAGGCTTCTGTGAGAACTGCCTTGGAGAGGTGGTTAGATTGAGCCTGAGTGGGTGAGGTCTGTTTGTGCACACTGGAGGAAAGGATGCCAAAGACCTTCCTTTCCTGTGGGAGATGCCAGGTATTGCATTAGAAGTGAACCAGGGCATATTTTCTTTTGGCCTATCTGTGAACTCTGACCTCCAGTAATACCTTCATTCTGGTGATGCCTGTATCAGGCTAGCTGTTGGCTAGGCCAGGGTCCACAGTAATTCATGTGCTCACACTCTTAGCTTCAGCATGACCAGGGAGACCCAGAGCCCCTGGGGTAGTAAAGAGGTCTGTGGGTTTTCGTGTACATGCCTGTCCTGAGGAAATACAGCCTACGTCTCCTGACAGTTTAATGGGCATCCGTTGAGCCCTGGGAGAGGAAGTCAGCAGAGGCAGGTGCAGAGAGCCCAGGGGAAGCTATCGACTGCCAACAGCCAGATTGGACTGAGTGTAGCCATGGCCTGGCGCCCCAGTGACCTGGTGACACCATTCTCAGGCTGCTGGCTGCCTGTGGGCTGGTGTGTTACGACAGAGGAGGAGGAGCCAGGGCCTCCACAGAGAGCTTGACTCACCAGGGCCTGCCTGGCTTAGACCTCGGGCCTGAGATGGATGGTGCATCCTTCCACTTGTTCACTCTGCTACTCAAGCTTTCTAGGAGCCTGCTATGTGTCATTTTGTGGGTGCTGAGCATCCAGCCACAGCTGAAGCACAGTTCCTGCCCCTGAGGCTTCAAGGAGGCCATGTGGTATTGGTACTGTAAACTGGGTTCCCAGGGAGAACACTCTGGAGGAAGTGATGTCTGAGCAGATAATGGGACAGGCCCATCCAGGCTCCTCTGGCATACTGGCCACAGTCCCAAAACCCAGGCCTCTGCCAAGGGTTAGAAACCATATGACAAATTCCTGTGTTTCCAGCAGGTCCAGTGTGCAGGACACTGACTGCTACCAATGGCTCCAAAGCTCTTTGCCTTCCTCTGTCAGAAATGATACCAGCTCCTTCTGGTCTTTCAGAGGCTGTACCCTTGACCCCTCCTCACTGATGACTCCTTTCCTGAACCAGGGTTCAAGTCTGAGGAGACCTTGCACCTAGCCTACAGCAACCGCAGTGTATTCTCAGACATCCTGATCATGGACTAGAATGTTGGGAACAACACCACCCAACTCACTGTCCAGTTGCTGCCTGGGAATGGTGCACAGGCCTTAGTGAGGCCATCCTACAGCTCTTGTGCAAAGCCTAGAGGCACTACCCTGGTGGCCGCCTTACTGCCCCCAGGAGGGTATCTGTGTGGGCGCTGGAGCTTGTGTGGTGCTGGGAGCAGTGAGGGGTTAATACAGCTCTACTTTCTTTTGCTTTCCCTCCCTCCTGCTCTGAAGGAAACTGTGTTGGAATTACAGACATAAGTGCTGGCTTTTGAGGAGACTGCTGCTCACCCAGTCCCTGCCAGGCCTGGGGCACCACCCTCTCTCCCACGCTTGCCTTCCTTGGGCTCTGTCCTGCATTCAGGGCCTCATTCAGAGGACTGGGGGCCTCCTAGGGCACACTTACCGGGCCCTCCCTACCCCAGGCCTGCCCTGCTCACCCCCCAGGGATTGAGCTCAGTGTACAATGGTACCCAAGGAGGAGGGACCGAGGAAGTGACATCGCTTGGCCCGCCCCCACCTCCTTATTCCCTATAAAAAGCAAAATGGTGACTCAGAGAGAAGAGTTGGAATCGTCCTGCCTCCTTCTCCCACTGTTAATTTTTAGACGTGGAATTAGGCAGGAGGCAAAGGAAACACAGCTCCACATACGCAGCTGACATGCTATTAGGCGGGTGGCGACAGCAGAGCCGCTCCTCCCCGACTCCCAGCAGCCTCTGACGGACTCAGCAGAGCCTGTGCCTGCTGGAGCTCCCACCCTCCTACCCAGGCCTGGCTGTGCAGCCACTGCCCTGGCCCAGGGTGCATGGTGCAGCAGGGGCCATGGCAGCTGGGGGCCGGCGTCGGCGCCCACTGCGCTACCAGTCCCTGGCAGCCCTGGTGGAAGACTCTCAATGGCCTTTCTTGTTCCTTGTCTCAGACTTCAGCTACGGTGCCGAGGACTACGACGCAGAGGGGCATGAGGAGCAGAAGGGGCCCCCCGAGGGCTCGGAGACCATGCCATACATCGACGAGTCACCCACCATGTCACCCCAGCTCAGTGCTCGCAGCCAAGGCGGTGGGGACAGCATCTCACCCACCCCACCTGAGGGGTTGGCACCTGGGGTAGGTACTCCTGTTTACTTTTCTGGGGAGGGGAGATAGGACAACTTGTATGCAAAGTGGACCAGGGTCTGCTTAGGACAGTGTTGGCAGTGGGGCTGGGGGAGGGTGGGCCTGTACCCCTGATGTCCTCCTCTTCATTACCTGCTATGCTTTGCTACCTCTTACCTGTTTCCCTGCTCTGCCAACTGTTTGTTCTACTACTGCTTCCTGGGCTCTCTCATTCCCCTTTCAACCATCTCTTAACAGGATGGGGGAGGGGGCTCTGGAAGGTCCAGGCTTTTCTATCTGTACCTGGCTGGATGCACAGTGACCTGTGGACAAGGAATGACCAGTCCACAAAGGACTGGTCTCAAGCTTCCTGTGGGTTAAAATAACCCTGATGCTTCTGTAGTGTTCCCCTGGATTGAGGGCCTCCAGCCCTGTTCTGTTCCACAGGAAAGGAATAAGCCTGGGGTGCCTAACTTCCCTGCTTCCAGGAGAGGCAGGGGTTCCCCTCTCAGAAACCTTCTTTAAGAAAGATTAAGTATGTTTTGACAGGGCAGGGAGATAGGAATGTGTAGAGTACTTATAATTAATGCTGTTCCTGGTGACAGGGACTGGGCCCAGATCATGAGTGTGCGCATCTGAAATACATGAGCAAGCCAGGCAGAGAGATTCTGTGGGGCTCTTTTTCTGGAGTTAGGGAAAAGAATCATAGCCACTTGTTTTGGTGGACGGAGCTCAGTTTCACAGGTCCTTTTCATCCAGCTTGTCCAGGTGCATTTTGTGGGGTTCTCTTTCCTCTCTCTGAAGCCCCCAGGGAGCATTAGCAATGCTATGCAATGCATTTCCCTTCTCTAATGCCTAACACCCCCACCCCACCTGGAGGCTGCCTGGACTCTACCATTTGGAAGAACCCCTGCTCCTTCCCACCCTCTGCAGGCTCTCACCCCCTCTTCACACACTGGGGTGGCTGTTATAGCCTTTGGCAACAAGGGCCTTGGCAACCAGCATCCCACTTGGGGGAAGCCACATTGTTGCCATAGCAACAGAGGCCTAGGCAGAGCTCAGCGACTGCCAGGTGGTACAAGTTTGGGAAGGGATGGTGGGGGGCAGGTAAGAGGTGGAGGGGATGAATGTGGCCAGCTTCAGGCTCCTCACAGACAGCATTCTTTGGTGTTGTTGCCCTAGGGAAGGGTGTTGGATTATCCGAGACAGCCATTTTGGCCATAGAGGCAGGGTATTTGGACTAATGGAGGAGAGACTGTTCTGGAACCTGGACTCAGGCCAACCAGGAGAAAGAAGGAAGAGAGAACTCTGGTTCCCCATCTCTGCCTTCTGGTTGTATGTCAATGGGGTTCAGATATCGCCTAGGGACTTAGCCCATATCCCACTTAAGCAGGTACAGTAATCTACATGGGGGGCCTGGTCTGTGCATTCTCCTCTCTTGTCTCTGCCTCATCTCCCTTCCTCTAGTTCCTCATGACTACCTTGTAGAAGCATTCATCCATGGATATTTGGATTTCCTGGTGAAAAATCCTGCTGATGCTCTATGCATGCAGGACCATACTCCTCCTGTGTGGTAGTCTCCACTTTGGGTAGCATCTCCACTTTGTTCCCATTGTTCTTGGTGATCATTGTTCTTGGTGATCAAAGGGAATAACGTAACTGGAAGATTTTGAAATGTTAAATATTTTACAGAGAGAACAGTCATCTGAAGTATTTGAGGCCCTCAGTACCAATCTTCACACCATAAATAGGTAGGGGGATCATTGATGCAAGTTGGGAATGGCTGGGACAATTTACTGCAAGCTGCTCCACTCCTGCTTGCCTGCCTCAGCTATAACCCTTGCTGCTTGAAGCTAGCTGCCTTTCTGTTCTTTCTGTTGCATTACTGGCCCCACCTAGTGGACCCTGCAAGTATTGCCATTTGCAGTGAGGTGCCTGGAAGGCGCAAACCCCCTTTCCCAGTACTTGAGATTATTTGTTTTTGTTTTTAAAAAAGGGGTGTGTGTGTGTGTGTGTGTGTGTGTTCGTTCCTGCTACTTGGCTGTGCTCATATGGCCAGGCAGTCTCCTCCCCTGCCAGGCTTCCTGTTAGGAACTTGGGAACAGAGGGGATTTTTGGACAAAATCAGACAATTGTTCTAGATATTTAGATATCTAGCCTTTGGCACAACCTGGCAGCTGAGCTTTCCACACCCAAACATACAGCCAAACTGTACCTGAGAGGTCAAAATTTGGTTTATGTGTTAGAAAAACAACCCACATGGATGTGTGTGTGTGTGTGTGTGTGTGTGTGTGTGTGTGTGTGTGTGTGTGTGTGTGTGTGTGTGTACAGTTTGTATATAGAGAGATCTGGTAGAAGGAAGTAACTTATGGGTATGGAGGCTAAGAAATCCTGTCCTCTGCAGTGGATGCTGGAGGTTTAGGAGAGCCAATGTGTAGTTCCAGTCCAATTCCAAAGGCCCAAGAATCAGGTGAGCCAAAGGTACAAGATTCTAAGTGAAAGCCCAGTAGGCTTAAGCTCAAGAATGCCCAGTTCAGTCTGAGTCCAAAGGTTAGAAAAGACCAGTGTCCCAGTGCTAGCAGCCATGTGGATGGAGCCCCTCTGTCTTTGTTTGTTTGAGATGGGATCTCTATGTTTCTGAGGCTGTCCTGAAATTTGCTTTGTAATCCTGGCTGGGATGACACTCATAATCCTTCTGCCTGGGCCTCCTGGTCCTAGGTCATGCATGCTGTCTGGGAGGATCCTCTTTTTCTTGGCCTTTTTGATCTCAGGTTTTCAATTGACTGGATGAGGCAAGGCCAGCTCATTTGGGGAAGGGCATCTGCTATGCTCAGTCTGTAGATTCAGATGCTAATCTCATTGTGAGCCATCCCACAAGACACCCAGGATCATGTTTAGACACCCTGTGGCCCAATCAAGTTGATACATAGAATTGTGTCAGTGGCCTAGAGCCTCGACATAATGTAAGCTTTGAACAGATGAACTCTACTTTCTGGCTGTAGGACACTGAATACAGGTCATGACACCACGGAGCCTGTGTCCTCAGGTCTGAATAGCAGTGGCTCCTCTGAAGGAAGTGTGAGGAAAGGCCAGGTGTTGCTCACAGGGAGCCTTAAAAGGGTGTTGAATACATTCCGTTCCAGTACTCAGAAGGCAAAGGTGGGAGAATTGTTCGTTCTAGGCCAGACTGAGCTATGTAATGAGCCCCTGTCTCAAAACAAACAAACCCATAAGGCTTTGTCATTGGCTTTTAGAGGGCTGGGACCAGCAGCGTTGCAAAGACAGTCTGGGAAATACATGCTGGGAAATGAATCTGTGTTTGCAGGCCACCTCCATTCTGGATCTGTCCTGGCAAGTGGACATGGTCTCAGCCCAGACATGGTCTTCTCATTCCCCAGCATACCTTGCTGTGATATTTTCATCTCGGCTTTTGCCCCAGAGGTAACAGATGAACCCCAAACCCTGCCCTGTAGGCTTTTCCCAAACCCAAACTGGGCAGGGTACCCTGGCACAGGGTTAAGGATTACCAATTGCTAGTGGTTCTATATAATTGAGAGTGTGTAGTTTCCCTTGGAGATAGGGTAAGGACACTCCCACTTAGCTGCAACTTCCTGTCCCAGAACCACATTCTTATAGAAAACCTCCTTCCTATAGACCACAATTCCTCTCTTTTTTCTGTATGGTACAGTCAGAGGGACCTCAAGATAGAGAAAAGGTCTGGTTTTTGTCTGTCTTCTACTGTTTTTTTAATTTTTGTTTTGGGTTTTTTTTTTTTTGGTTTTGGTGTTGTTGTTGTTTTTGTTTTGTTTTGTTTTTTGAGAAAGGATTTCTCTGTGTAGCTTTGGAGCCTATCCTGGCACTCGCTCTGGAGACCAGGCTGGCCTCAAACTCACAGAGATCTGCCTGCCTCTGCCTCCTGAGTGCTGGGATTAAAGGCGTGCGCCACCAATGCCCAGCTGTTTTTGTTTTTTTGAGTCAGGGTTTCTTTGTGTGGTCTTGGCTGTCCTAGAACTAACTCTGTAAATCAGGTTGGCCTTGAACTCACAGAGATCCTCCTTCCTCTGCCTCCGAAGTGCTGGGATCAAAGGCGTGCACCACCACCGCCCAGCTGTCTTCTACTATTTTGAAGGTGTGTCACCAAGAGATGTCACCCTCTGAGTTCATTTACTCATCGGTAAATGGAAGAAACTGAGAATTTCCTCCCATGTGACCTGACACAGCTGTCACAAGTCTGCCATGAGATGTTGTTATGAGCCAGAGTGCCTTGTAATTTGTAATATCTCTATGGGTGTAGACTTCAGCTGACATTAGGATCCAGAGGTAAAAGTGTTAATGATAAAGTGTGTGTGAACCTTGGCAGATTCCATGGCAGATGAGGGTGACCAAGGCAGAGGGGCAAACATGCCAGGCAGACAGAACTTAGTGAGAAGTTTTATTAGAAAGGGGGGGTGTGAAAAGAGGAAAAGAGTCAGAGAGAGTACAGAAGAGGGAGACAGGAAAAGTCCTGCCTGCGCCAGGGGAACAGCAGGAGAGAGAGCAGCTAAAGCCACACCCCTTAAAAGTGCCACTCTCTATGAGCCTGTGGGAGCCATTTTCTTTCAAACCACTACAATTACCACTGTCTTCGTTTGCATTTTCTTCCCTCCCATCAGCTGCTTTGAGAGACAAGGCTGAGCCTCTCACATAGGCTGCTTCATTTAAAGTCCATGATGTCTCTCTAAATCCATAGGTGCCCTGCTTTCATTTTATAGTTTAGGAAACCGAAAGCTCAAGTAGTTGACATAATTTACCAGAGACTAGTGCATCCAGTGGGACCAGGGCTCCATTTCAGCTTGGGATCTTGTGATGCTTAAGCCTGGGTAGTGCTGCCAGGCCCCTCTCAGTTACCCTACTGGGTGAAGCGCTGAGAGCCCAGCTGATCCCCCACTGCTGGGGATGTATACAGTTTTGGGGGGCTTGCATCTGCCACTGTAGATAAGGCGCACCATTTTTTTATTTTTTGGTTTGGTTTGGTTTGGTTTGGTTTTTTTGGGGTTTTGTTTGTTTGTTTTTGTTTTTTTCGAGACAGGGTTTCTCTGTGTAGCTTTGGAGGCTGTCCTGGCACTCGTTCTGGAGACCAGGCTGGCTTTGAACTCACAGAGATCTGCCTGCCTCTGCCTTTTGAGTGCTGGGATTAAAGGCGTGCACCACCAACGCCTAGCTTAGGGGCACCGTTTTTTAGCATCTCTTTGTGCAGCTCCTAGTTCCACTTGTAAACTCCCAAGCACCTCTGGGTTCCAGGTTGGTATTTGGGGTTGAATTGTATAGTTCTGAAACCAGAAAGGACAGGCAGGAGCAGTGGGAAACAAAGCTAGGCAGAATCACTGTTTTCCCTTCTCTCTCAGGTTGGGGCTTGGGCTTTGGGGCTGAGAGGGTCATCTGTAAGTGAACAGAAGCCATGTGGAAAGATTGTGGCTTCAGAGCCTGCATTATTCTGTGTTTTCTTTACACTTTGTTCCTCCTCTGGGAGTGGTGGGTACCAGGGTAGAGACTCAGCAGCCCAGCGCCTGCAGAGAGGACAGTGACTGTCCCCTCCTGTGCATTGGTGCCGAGCTTTGCTGCCACCACTTCTAGCTGCGGGTGGAGCTCCTGTCATATATGTGGGAAGTCATAGGGCTCTGGTGCTCTGTTCCTTGTCTAAGCTGGGAAGGAGACAGAGTACCTTACTTGGAACACTTCCTATTCTCTCCAGGCCATGTCCCATTTCACACTCCATCACAGTTTCCTGGTGTCTTCCCTGGGGGACTGCATCTGACTGGCCTGGCCACCCTATGGTTCTCATACCTTCCCTGGTCTCTCTTCTCACGCTAACCTGCTGGGACCACAGTTCATGAATGTATTTCTTACCTGAAAACAAGGCTACTCCAAAAATCATATTTATTCAATAAAGGTATGATAATCTACGGGTGCCCAGGGCACTGTGGGTAGGTGTGTGGGCCCAGTCAGAACAGTTCTCTGCCCTAGATACCATGAAATTTGGAAGGAAGGAGGGAGGAAGAAAAGAGGTGTCTGATAAAAATAATGATTCCAGCAGGTGTTAAATTGCCCATGAAACAAGCATGGTAACAACCACAACGAGTGTTTGTGATATCCCATTTCTTTAGTTAGCACTGAAGAAACTGAAACAGGGAGGGTATTTGAGTTTGAGGCCAGCCTGGACTCAGTGAGTTCTAAGCTAGCCAATCCCTAATAGGGAGACAGTGTCTTTTAAAAATAAAAAAATGTCCTCGTAGATGACACAGAGGTGAGCTGCTGGGGTCAGAGGCTCTGCCTCTCTTCTTTGTGTTCTCTCAGGGGCTCAGAAGGGTCCCTAAGAACCCAGCAGACTCTTACTCTCTACTGCACCATTTTTTGTTGTTGTTACTGAGTTTTTCCACTGGGAGGTGCTAATAAGGCCAGAGCAGTTTTCTTCCCATCCCAGAGAGGATGACCTTGTTCACCTGCCCAGTAGTCAGGTGCTGGTGTGATAGGTGGTCCAGACAGCCCTCTCCTGCTGCCTGTGTGGCAGGAAGAAGTAGAAGACGACTACACACACCTAGCACACCATAGTACTTCATAGGAAACTCAGTCTTCTGCACTGCCTTGTGATGTGGCTCTTATTCTGTCCCATCACAGATGTAGGCCCCAGGGGGCACTAATGCTATATAATGTCATATATGACAGGGCAGTGTAACCATGATGAGCCTTTAGTACTCTTTTTGCCTCTTTTGAGGCAGTACTCATTATGAAGCCCAGGCTGGCCTTGAATTTGCAGTCATCCTGCCTTGGCCTCTTACATGCTGGGATTACAGGCTTGAACCACTGTGCTTGTCTAAATTTTAGCCCATGCCATGTGACATTGGACATTTTAGCAAGCATCATTCCCCTCTACTGTCATATTCGGAGAAAATAACTAATAACTGCTAATTTCTGCACTGTTCCAATTTTAGTGTATGTGCTGCCAAAGGGA